CTCTGGGAGGGACATTCATGGCCCTGTCCCAACCACACTAAGAGGGCAGAATTTGGGAGGTGTGAAATGGGGAGGGAGGGAAGGGAAGAACACCAGTGTCAGTGAGTTCCTGGGTTGAAGGACTGAGTGGAGGCTGGGTTTTAGCTGGTGTGTGATCCAGCACTACTCAGGGCTTCTCCCTCTCGTGCCCCGCCCCCATCCTCATCGCCATGTTTCATTCTTCTGAACTCCCTCTACCAACTCTATCCTGGGAAAGCAGAACAGCAAAGGGACAGGTTTTGGGTTGCTGTTCTAGAACACTCATGTGCTGTGTACCAAGAGCCCACCAGGACTGTCCAGGGAAGAGAGGCTGAAGACTAGTCTAAGAAAACACACACATCGCACTCCCTCCCTCACCCTTGGGCTGGCTCCCCTTGCGAAACCGCCTCCCTCCCCAGGGCCTGGTCCTTCTCACTTATCTCTGAAGGAAGGGAAAGCCAGCTGCCCCTGTGGGATGGAGCCAAGGTGCTGAGGGGGGTGAGGCTCCAAGTCTGGCTGGAGGGGATCCAGGTGGTTGAGAAAGGAGGGAGAGGAAAGAGGAAGAGAAGAGGCCTGAGGCAAGTGAGCTCCCTTACAAGTGGCCACATTCCAATGCTTTTTAAAAGGTTGAATGTGGTGTCAGGGGAGAGAGTGAAAAAAGCTCAGTGGTTGGAAAAGTGGCTGAGAGTTGTTTCAGAATCTTCCCTCCCTAGCCAGGCACAGCCCTCCCCCCAGGTTCTTGCTCCAGTCCTGACCTAGCTTAGAATTTGGCCAAGGCCAGCACTTTCAGCCCTGCTGAGCAGCAGCCACTTCTGATTTCCCCAGCTTCCTTTTTCTTAGCCTTCTTTGTCCCCAGCCCAAGAAAGAGGAGGCAGCACTAGAGGCAGTGTGCGCGGGGAGGGGAGAGCAGAGCCTTCTCCAGCCAGAAGAAGCATTTGGGCTTCTGACTGCAGAAGTCAGACTAGAGAACCCGAGGCACGGACCACCCTTGATCCCCAGCTTTGCATCCCTGGTAAGAGGTTCCCTCTTCCGCAGCAGAGAGAACCTTTCAAGAAAAGATGGTTTGCCCTGGATCCCCAGGAGCGGAGGCTGCTGTATTACAAGAACCCCCTGGTAAGAGCCATTCCACAATGCCCCAGACAGATGTGAGCCGTGCTTGCAAGAGACTAGCAGATAAACCATGTCCTGGAGCACCAGGGCTGGGGAACACCTGTGCCCCTGCTTCTCTCTGTCAGCTCCTGTTCAGGAAGTCCATTCGGGTTTCCCCAACACTGCCAACTGTGGTTAGATACAGTGTATTTCCTCCTCCAGTCCCCAGGTCTCACTTCTACCCAGGAGGCCAAGAAGTGGAGTGGTTAGAGATGTGGGCTCTGGTCTCAGCCCTGACATTGTGGTGGTGTGCCCAGGGCAGGGAATGCACTTAGTTTTCTATGCCTCACTTGGCAAAAAATAGGCTTACTATGAATGCCTTGCTCAGAGGTAGCGATGGGCTTAACTGGGGGCAACTGGAGATTCAGAAAAGACACAGGATAGAGAGAAAGTGGGGTCAGGTGTGTCAGTGTCCGGGTGGAGAAGCCCAACCCTCATTGCTTCTTTTCTCTATCTTTATTCTTTAAGGCCTTACTCCTTTGCAGTTCTTTAAAACCTTGCTTAAAACCTCTTTCCTGAGACTTGCTCTGTCCCATGTTTTCTCTTAGCTTATCTTTAGCTTAATTTCTCTTAAAGTCTTTTGCCCTAGACTTGCAGCTTTTCTTTTTTTTTTTATTCATATGTGCATATAATGTTTGGGTCATTTCTCCCCCCTCCCTCCACCCCCTCCCTTACCCCGCAGCTTTTCTTTAGTATTCTCTCTTTAGCCTTCTTAATGCCTTGATGCTCAGACTTGCAAAGTCTTGGTCCTCAATCTTGCGCTGTCCCATGTTCTCTTTGGCTTTTCTCTAGCTTCTAAAGCCTATGTTAAAGTTCTTTCTTTGGCTTTCTTTTCTAAGGCCTATGTTAAAGCTCTCGGTACAGACTTTCTATCAACCCCTCTTTAGCCATTGTTTTTCCTTCAGCAATTTCCCTTTAACAATTCTTTTCACTTCAGTAATTCTTTTCCCTTCCAAAAGCTCCCCACACCAAAAAGCCCAAAGCAAAAGAATCAAGCCAAAGCCCCCAAAAACCCAAGCCCCAAAAGCCGCCAAAGGCAAAAAGCAAAAAGCCCAAGCCCTCCTTCAGCAGGCCTTATAAACAGCAGAGAACAGGGTGGAGCAGAGGCTCTCAGGGAGGGGCGGACATTGTAACAGGAAAAACCTTGTTCCTGCTTCTCTGAATGTAAACTTAGGAGATGCAGCTGTTCTGCTTTTTTTCTGTTTCATGACCGGGGCTGTGCCTATCTCAGGCTACAGATGAAAGCAATTAAACCAAATCTCACCTTGCTTATGTCCAGTTCTGACAGGTTTTTCATATTCTGCTCTCCACAAGAAATTATCTCAAATAAGTTTAAAAAAAGTAAAATTGAGCCAGGGCTACTGATTAGTCACCAATGAATCAGTAGATTTTTAATTAACCTATGCAGTATTTGTTTGTGTACAGGATGAATGCTGACATTAGGAGTTGCCATTTTCTTTCTATATTATTAGCTTGTATTAGCAATACATATACATATATATATATTTTTTTTTCACAGTACTGGGGCTTGAACATGGCCTTCACCTTGAGCCACTTCACCAGCCCTATTTTTTGTGAAGGGTTTTTCGAGATAGGGTCTTGTGAACTATTTGCCCAGGCTGGCTTTGACAATGATCCTCCTGATCTTGCCTCCTGAGTAGCTATGATTACAGGCATGAGCCCCCAGGGACCAACAGCAATATTTTTAAAGGTGTGGCATAAGAAAAACTCTGGTCTTCAGGAGATAGGTTACTCTCTTAAATCTGCAACTAATATTTTAGTTAGATCTTGAGAAAATCACTGTCTCTGGGTCCTTCATCTGAAAATTTTGTGGAGAGTCAAGTAACCAGGTATTGTTGGATAGGTCTAACAGTTCTGTGAGGGCTCCAGATCCAATGTCATGGTCTGAATTTGGTGAAATAATACCTTATTGTCAGCCACTTGAAAAGGCCCAAACCTTTTTTTGATACAAGTCAATTGAAAAGATCAGTAGAAATCAGAGCTAGGAAACACCTGTTAAACTGCCTAGGCTGTCCCTCCACAGCAATACTTATTTGGTCACAGCATGTACCCTCTGCGTTGTTTCGACCAGTACTGTCCTTCCTTGTTCTAGCTATTGATTATTTTCTCAGAGACTTGACTTGTGTTTTCAGTTCACCCTTTATTTTAATTATTTAGGAAGGTTCTATGGTTGTTCTTAGTTCTAAAAATTTCCATTCTTTCATATTTAGACCTTATTTGTAGGCATCATAATTTGCTATTATACAGAAACTAATGGGCAAGTGAACTGTTTTCCTCTAGAATCACAAAAGAATTTAGTTGATAAGCAGTTGGATATCTAATAAGAATAATTATATGACCAGAAAAGTTATGGAAACAGAAGTCAAATTTCAGAATAAAGATTAAGATTTTTAAAGTTTTTGTACTAAAAAAATTACTAAAATAGAAAATGTATTGGTAAATTTCTCTGTTTTTACCTTGTTATTAACCATTTATTTATTGTTTATATATTTATTGGCAGGACTGGGATTTGAACTTAGGGCTTTTTTTTTTGTTTTAATTGTGGCACTGTGGTTTGAACTCTGGGCCTCACGCTTGCTAGGCAAGCTCTATAGCAGCATCTTGAGCCACTCCGCCAGCCCTGAACTTAGTTAGGGCTTTGTAATTTCATAGCAGGCACTGAACCACTTGAGCCACACTTCCAGCCCAATTTGCTCTGGTTATTTTGAATTATTTGCCCAGACCTGCCTTGAACTGAATGAAATCCTCCTGATCTCAGCTTCCCAAGTAGCTATGATACAGGTGCAAGCCACCAGCACCCAACAGTTACTAACCCTTTAAATATAAAACTCTAAAAAAAGAAAAAAAATAGAGATATAGGAAAATAGGCACTCTGATATTCTGCTGTTGAGGATATAAATGGATTTATTATTTTTTGGAGGTAATTAAAAAATACCAATTAAAAACAAAACAGGTTCCCTGGTGCCTGTGCCTCATACCTGTAATCCTAGCTACTTGAGAGGTTGAGATCTGGAGGATCATGGTTTGAGGCCACCCCAGGCAAATAGTATTCAAGGCTTCATCTCCAAAATAACCCAGAGTAAAACAGACTGGAGGTGTGCAAGCATGAAGCCCTGAGTTCAAACCACAGTCCCACGAGAAAAAAAAAAAAAAACAAGAAAAAGTCATATGTGCTAACTTGAGATCCACTTCAAGCATTTTATCCTGTAGAAATACTAACTATAGCATTATCATTATTACTATTAGTAGTAGTAGTAGTGGTGGTAGTGGTGGTACTGGGATTTAAACTCAGGGCTTCATGCTTGCTTGGTAGGCACTCTACCATTTAAGCCACTTCTCCAGCTCAACAGCATTATTTATAAAAGTAAAAACTTAGAAAAAAACCAAAGTTCATTGTTAGGAATGTTAATTAATTTACATCCATAGCTGGGCATAGAGTATACTCCTGTAATCCCAGCACCCAGGAGTTAATGGCACGAGGTTAACAAGTTCCAGGCCAGCATGGACAACATAGTGAGTTCAAGGCCAGCTTAGGCTACATAGCGAGTGTCTCAAAGAAAAATTTTAAAAATTACATCATGAAATAAATTCTGTGGTACTGATAATTGAACTTAGGGCTTTGAGCTTGCTAGATACGTGCTCTATCTCTTGAGCCATGCAGCACTCAAAAACTAATGCAGGGACATTAGTTATTTATTATTTATGTGTTGTACTAAATTTGAATGCTTTCCATTTTTGATAATAAGTAACAGACTTCCCTGTATGGTTGCTGCATTTGAGCTTATGTAGAACCTAAACTCTTTGTTAAAGTAATGATTTTTCTTTTCACAGCTAGAGTTGGAAAAACGTCACTGATTATGTCTCTGGTCAGTGAAGAATTTCCAGAAGAGGTAAACATTTTGATTTCTTTTTCATATTTAAGATTTTTTTTTATTTATCAAAAGTAAATTAAAATGAAACAAACTCTACCTTTTTTCCATCTGTTTCTTTTTTAGCAGTTGTGGCTTTTTAAAAGGCTCATACTAGTTTGTAGAAGACATCCTCCTAGTCTCAGTTTCCCAAGTAGCTAGGATTACAGGCATGAACCACTGGCATCCAGCATTATTGTAGTTTTAATACATATTTGCCTCTGTGGTAAAGCACAAAAATAAGCATTTATAAATAGAACAAATTTGTAAGGACAGCTTTGGATGAAAAGATAGGTAAATTTATATAATCTGTAAACAACTTTGGTAATATCCCTCAGTTTTTTTCATTTTCTATTTTTGTTTGCACACAAAGGTTCCTCCTCGGGCAGAAGAAATCACCATTCCAGCTGATGTCACCCCAGAGAGAGTTCCAACACACATTGTAGATTATTCAGGTAAGTGGCCTCTTATAGATGAAGCTCTAAGGTTAATTGAATAGTCCTGAAAACAGTTCTTACTAAGCTTTTATAAATGTTCGGAAAGAGATGGTCCTTTCTCTGTCATTTCCTGTTTTTATCTCTACCAACCTTCACCCTACCTCCCCAGTCCCTTTTTAAATTTTTATTTTGAGACAGGGTCTTGCTAAGCTCCCCTGGGGCAGACCTTGAACTCATAATCTTCTTGCCCTAGTCCTCCTCCCCCACCAGTAGCTGGGATTATAGAAATGCATCACCACACTTGGCTCTACTAACTTTTTAATCATTAAATTACTTTGTTTTGATCTAGAACTTTTTTTTTAATTGGCATATATATGTGTTTGTGTGCAAAATACTTTGTTTGGATAAATTGGTATACCATAAATTCTAAAAATGAAACACTAACACTGCCCTGTCCAATACCTATAACCTTTGAATAATTGAAATGTGACTATTCTAAATTGAAATGTGCTGTAAGTATAACATACAACTGGATGTTTTTAAGTGTTAGTATGGTAGAAAGAATGTAAAATACCTCATTAATTTTTCTTCTGTTAAATAGGCTTTTTTGAATTTCAGATGGCTGAGGTATTTCTGCCTTTTTTTTTTGGTGGCACTGGGGTTTGAACTCAGGACCTCACACTTGCTAGGCAGGTGCTGTCACCACTTGAACCACTATGCCAGCCCTTTTTTGTGGTGGGTTTTTTTTGAGATAGGTTCTCATAAACTGTTTGCCTGGGCTGGCTTCAATCTGCAATCCTCCTGATCTCTCTACCTCCTGAGTAGCTAGGATTACATGTGTGAGCCACTGGTGCCTGGCTTCTTTTTGAAATTTTTTAAATTCATCCCCTCCCAGAAATCTAGGAAATTATACGCACTGTGTCTACTTTTTTTATATGAATATATTATATACTTATGAGTAGCATGATTGTGTACACAGGAATAACAGAACAGAATTTACTACCTGTAGCAGCCACTGTATCAAGGCAGAACAAAACTGCTGTTACCCCTTCACTGACATGATCCAGATGCCTTCCTTTTAAGAAAAACAGACTTTTGAAAGCTCCTGGAAGTGAGGAATATGTCTTTGTTATCTTTAAATACCTTCCAGCCTCCAGGGTGCCGTTGGTACATGGTAGGCACTGAAGTGAAAGAATAAATTGTATTTGATCAAAGAGAGAAGTGGTTGTTTTTAAAATTGGGAAATGGCAGTGGTTTTATTTTGGCTTCATTGGTCTGGGTCTTGTGTGATTGAGCTCTATGGGAACCATCACCTTGCTCTGATAGGGTCACAGTTCCCATCCTGATAGAGCTGGGAGTTTACCATGTGCTAAGTATCTTCCGTGTCTCCATTTCATTTACCTCACCAAGGAGTGGGTGTTGTCTTCCTTTTAGGGTAGGGGAAATATGGCCTAGAGAACTTAATCAACTTGACCAAGATCACATAGTAAATGCAAAACAAAAACTTACTTGGCTTGTCCAAGTCCAAAGATCACCTCACCATGCTACCCTTCATGGGTCTTTCCAAAGGGATTATGCTTATTATTAAGCCAATCAGCCCCAAGTCACTGTAGAAGAGTTTGGGAAGAAAATCAGGCCAGGTTGCGGGTAAGTGGTTTCCTGGTAGAATTCTACTTGTGATCCCCTCCCTAACTTCACTGGAGGGCTCTACTGAAGTATCATTATTTTTTCTACTGAGTACATATTTAAATTTTAAATTTAATATTTTGGGTTATTAAAAATTAATCTTACCTTTTCATTTTTAAGATAACTACTAGAAAATTAACATATATATGTGGCTTTCATTGTATCTGTTGATAGCACTGTACTAAAAGCTGAGGGAGAATGACATTGCCTTCTGCTTTAGTCTCATAACTATCTTTACTTACAGAATTATTTTTCGGTGTCTGTAGCACTGAATTCACTTAGTGTTAGAATTGAAGCCTTAGTTCACATGTTGAAAGAAATTAAAGATATGGCCAGTTATTTAGCATAGTGTAAATTATCATTGAACTAGCTTATATATGAGAAATAACAGGCATTTGGCAGAGTAGTGGGGGTATAACCTCAGGTGATCTAAATTAATACATCAGTCTTCATTTCTATGCTTTTTCATCCTAGGGTCTATCACGCATACCCTTTTCGTGTGGGATTACATGAACATCCACCCATTGAGAGCAGTTCTGGCTAGTGATATGTACTAGAGAGGGAATTCTTGATTCTTCATGGTCATGCTCCAGTTTTCCTTCGGGGCCCTGGTGGTTATTACTCCTACTTGCTGTCTAGATCTTTAGCCTGTATTGCCCAGATTTTCTGGCCCCTTTAGACTGTGTATATAGACTCTTGTCTGAGAATTTTCTATCTCAGGTTGCTGATCTCTTTTGCCTGACCCTTTTCAACTGTGGATCAGATGCTGGCCTAGATCCATCATACAATGCCTCTGCCCTTCCATGCCCGAGTTATCCTCTTGTAGACTTCATTGCTAGCCAGCTTTCTTATCATAGTTCAACTTTTTCTTCTCCTGTCTTGCCCTTGTATTTGCTACTAGCTTAGTGTTACACCATGTCATTTTCCTTTTTTTTTTTTGGTGGTACTGGGATTTGAACTCAGGGCCTTGTTAGGTAAGCTCTCTACCACTTGAGCCACACCTCCAACCCACCATAGATATTGCATAGATTTTTAGCCTACTAGCTTTTATGAAAGAGTTTAAAATATGAAACATTGACTTTTTGTCATTTGTAGAAGCAGAACAGAGTGATGAACAACTTCATCAAGAAATATCACAGGTCAGTTAAAACAAATAGTTGTGGGGGGTTTTGGGGGGAGGAGAAACAGTGATAATCCTATGAGTATACCTTTTTCCTTCTTTCATTTATCAAGAATTTTCAATTCTTTGTTATTGCCAATTTTTAGTGTGTGGTTTTGCTATATGCCCTTAGGAATATATTCTTCTTATAAGCAAGCTTTTTAATTCTTTTTCCAATTCATTTTCTTCCTTTGTCCCTAAAATATTAACTGGTTGATAATTAAATGCTACTGTTTCTATTTTTATTTTTATTGCTATTAATTTGTTAATTTTTCTTCTAGGCCAATGTCATCTGCATAGTTTATGCTGTTAACAACAAACATTCTATTGATAAGGTATGGATGCATGGCTTTTTTTTATTTTTCCACTGTAAGTAAATTTCAGTAGCACACTTTTTTTTTTTTTAAACAGGGTCTCACTATGTAGCCTAGGCTGGTCTCAAACTTATGATCCTTCTGCCTCTGCCTTCCAAGTGCCACCATGCCTGGTTTCCATGGGGGCACTTTCAGAGTCAATCCTCATTTAGAATTTTAGAGACCTAAGGACAGAAAGCTTCTCAAAGAAGATCTGCATCATGATTTAGCTCGTGTTAATTTTCATTTTAGGTTACAAGTCGATGGATTCCTCTCATAAATGAAAGAACAGACAAAGACAGCAGGTATATTTTTTTCCTCTCAAATTTTGTATTCAGAAATTTCAAACTTACAGAAAAGATTCAGGAAATAACGAGCATTTGTAAACTCTTCACTTCTGTCCACCATTTGTTAACACTTTGCCACCTTTGCTTTATCAGTTGCTTCTCTGTTCACCTACCTCCAGATACTCCCACACACCTTTTTTGGGAGAAATCTTTTGAAGCAGCAAATATATTTTAGAGCAAAGCAAAAAGCAGAGCTCCAGTACTATACCATTATTATTATTATATACTATAATGATTCATAATTACTGACAGTAAATATTTTGATTACTTTTGTATTATCCGGGGCATAGTTCAAGTGGTAGAATGCCTTCCTAGCAAGTATGAAGCCCTAAGTTCAAACCCCAGTACTGTCAAAAAAAAAAAAAAAGAAAAAGTCTTCATTTTAGAGCATATCATTGTCATGTATTATGTGATAAGGTTGTCATTACTCACAGTGTGAGCAAGGGTCATTGATTGCTCATAGTGTGGTGTATGTCAGAGCAGTAGTACTTAGAGAAAACCTTTGAAATTGATTGGCTCCCATGAGTTCTAAGATGGCATTTGATTTCCCATCTGTAAGGATGGATGAGGGTAATAACTGTCTTAGCTATTTGTGGTTATGTTGAAAATCAAATGAAAATAATTTATATATAAGCACTTTATAAGTTCTTTAAAAAATCCCTAGAGATCTGCATTTAGGAATTCATGCAGGGAGTTTTCTTTGTAATTCTTTGGAAGATACATGGATAGTAGGGAAAAAGCAAGAGAACATTCAGGTTGTCATTTTCTGAGCAGGATGAGAGTTCTGCACAAACATGGTTTGAGTTTTAAGACAAACTGGCAATGTTTTTGCTTCAATATGGTTTAATGGGACATAAATTATTTATGAAGCATTTGAGTGTTTTTAAATGTTAGGAAAGTCAGAATAATATTTATTAATTGTACACATTTTGGTCTTTTACTTATTTTTTTAGATTTCTCTTTTATTGGGGTGCTTCTGTGCCTTTAAACTCTGAAGATTTGGTTCTTAATGGATGAATGTGGGCATTGACCCTCTGTCTTACATATTCATGAGAGACTTTGTGCCTTACAACTCTGACAGCTCCTCTTTATCCTGTTTTAAAATTTGTGGTTCGTTATTAACAAGGTGAAAAGCAGAGAATGACCCTCTCAAGTGATGCAGTCCAATGTAGTAGCCTCTAGTCAGTTGTATCAGTTTAACTTTAAATTAGTTAAAATAAATACACTTAGCTGGGCGCCGGTGGCTCATGCCTGTAATCCTAGCTACTGAGGAGACAGAGATCAGGAGGATTGCTGTTTGAAGCCAGCCCAGGCAAATAGTCCTCAAGACCCTATCTCGAAAGTACCTAACACAAAATGGGCTGGTGGAGTGGCTCAGGGGACAGGCCCTGAGTTCATAGATAGATAGGTAGATAGATAGACAGATAGACAGACAGACAGACAGACACACTTAGTCACTAGATAAGATCTCACTAACTTTTTGCCTAGGGCCAGCCTCACACCACAATCCTGATCTACACCTCCTGCATAGCTGTAATTAATTATGGCCATGTACTACCATGCCTAGCCAAGAGCTTTTTCTTGATTAAAAAAAAAAATCACACAGATAAAAATTAGAATAGTGTAATGAACTCCAGTATATCTGTCATCCAGCTTTAGCAATTAACTTGTGGTCTATCTTGTTTCATCATTACCTCTTCAGTTGGGGCCATTTTGAAGCAAACTAAACATCATATCAAAATATTTAGTGAGATACACATAGTGAAATATTTCAGAGATACACACTGAAATATTTAATGTGTATTCTAAAAGACAGCAAATCATTGCATTTAAAATGTCATCAGATCATGGCATGCCCCTGCTCATAACCTTCCTGTGGCTTCCCAATTACACCAATAGTAAAACCCACACTACTGCTGCAACTTAAAGTCCTTGTATGTGTAGCCTTTGAACCTCTCTTCATCCCCATTTTATAACTTTCCGCTTAGCTCCATTTTCACCATTCTGGCATTTTCCCTGTTCTTCATCTGCACCAGGATGTTCTCTCAGTATGGGGCCTTTGCACTTGCTTTCCTTTCTTCTCTGGTCTTCACGTGCAGATTCCGTCTTGGCTCAAATGCCACCTTCTTAAGAGAAGTTTTCCCTTGATTGTATGTATAATTAGGTCCCTTCCATTACCTTATCTCATGTCCCCCTACTGAGTCCCTTTATAACACCTGCTGTATTGGAAATTGCTTGTTAGAATGGGGAAGGATTTTCTGTCTCATGCCCTTAATCCTTAGAAGAGTTTGTAGTTTATTAGGTACTTTATAAGTAGTTTTGAATGAATTAATAAACCTATATATAAAGGGCACTTGGACCTGAGTATAGTAGAGGCTTTATGTTAGAGAGGTTGAAGCTTTTTAGTTAGATTGGGTTCTGATGTAAATTAAGATAAAAATCTAATGTCTTTTAGCTTCCTTATTACGTTGTGCACTATTCATTTCAGGCTGCCTTTGATATTGGTTGGGAACAAATCTGATCTGGTGGAATATAGTAGTATGGAGACCATCCTTCCTATTATGAACCAATATACAGAAATAGAAACCTGTGTGGAGGTATGCCTCATCGTTCAATTTGGAAATTTATTGTTGGTGAATTTTCACTAACTTGATATTCTGAATGGGAGGGGAAACAATGTGAGATGCAATAAATTTCTGTTCTTTGTGAAGACTTGTAAACTAGATAAAGCAGAGAACTTGCGAGTAGGCTTCTAAGCTCCTTTGGACATTGATGCTGACATGTCCACAAAGGAAAATTTATTTTTTCATTTTCTTCAAGGACTCTTACTGTTACCTTAAAACTTGGTTTTGGCTGACATAACTGATTTCAGAGTATAAAATTTAAAACTTTCCTTTTCAGTGTTCAGCAAAAAACCTGAAGAACATATCAGAGCTCTTTTACTATGCACAGAAAGCTGTTCTTCATCCTACAGGACCTCTGTACTGCCCAGAGGAGAAGGAGGTAACCAACCAATAAACTGTGTTTTTAGGGACTGGAATATAGACAGAGTAACTGAAATAGGACAGTGATTTTTAATAACTCTTAATTATTTTTCTAAAAATGAAACTGCTGAAATTGGAACTTACTGATTATTAAATTGCTGAATTTTCTAGTTATTTTTCTTCAGTGAAAATACTCAATGTTTTCCAGGTTAAGTATTATTTCAGAAAGTGCCATTAAAACAAACAGAATTGTCAATAATAGCAACAAAAATCCAAAGACTTAATAATGATCTACTTTGCAATTATAAAATCTACAAACTAAAAAGCACAAACAAAAATTGTGTAGTTTTTGGAGACTTTTTTTGATGCTGGAAATTGAATCCAGGACCTTGCCCAGGCTAAGCATGTACTCTACCACTGAACCACATTCCTAATACTTGTGTAGTTTTTTGACACAAGTACAACATGTAATACAACTTGAATATACTCTTGTTTTATAGCTAAGAAATAGAGTAATTCCTTATTGTAATACTTAAAATTTAACAGAATTGTGCCATAGACTTAAAAATTGAATTTTTTTAGATATAATTAACATACTGTAAAATTCACCCTTATACACACACAGTTCAATGGTTTTTAGTATATTCACAAAGTTATGCAACCATTATCTCTTAGCAAAACATTTATCACTCCCAAAAGAAACCCTGTACCCATTGTTAGTCATTCCCTAAACTCTCCTCTCCCTATCCCCTGGCAACCACTAATGAATGCACTTACCTCTCTGAACAGTTCATATCAGTGAAATCACAGAGTAAGTGGCCTTTTGTTTCTGGCTCCTTTCACTTAGCTTAATGTTTTCAAGGTTCTAGAAGGCAACACCCACGCACAGGAAATCAATGTGAGTCAATGCCCTGTATAGCTATCCTTATCTCAACCAGCAAAACCCCTCGTTCCTTCCTATTATTGCTTATACTCTCTCTACAACAAAATTAGAGATAAGGGCAAAATAGTTTCTGCTGGGTCTTGAGGGGTGGGAGCGGGAGGGAGTGGAGCGGGTGGTAAGGGAGGGGGTGGGGGCAGGGGGGAGAAATGAACCAAGCCTTGTATGCACATATGAATAATAAAAGAAAAATGAAAAAAAAATGTTTTCAAGGTTCATCCGTGTTGTAGCATGTATCAGTATTTCATTGTTGTCCATACTGGCCTGGGCAAAAAGTGAGACCCTAGCTCCAAATGAATCACAGCAAAGAGGTCTAGAAGCAAAAAGGTGACTCAAGCAGTAGAGCACCTGCCTAGCAAGTGTGAAGCCGAGTTCAGACCTCAGTACTACCAAATCAAACAAATACATAATAATACTTTGTGACATGTGAAAATCATAATACATTCAAACGTCATCATTTCATAGTTTTATTATAGCAGTTGTGCTCATTTGTTTATGTTTGTCTGTGACTCCTTTTGTGCTACAAAGGCAGATTTGAGTAGTTTCAACAGAGCTCATGGGGACAAGGCTCAAGTGGTATGGTACCTGCCTAGGAAAAAAAAAAAAGACCCTGAGTTCAAACTCTAGTACAGCGCATGCACACACACACAACCCCAGAGGTCCACGGGGTACTCTCATTACTTAATTGATGCTCAGTGTACTACTAATTGCATCGACAGTTACAATTTGACAGCATTTCAGTACCATATATGTCACTGTACCACATTTCATTTTTTATCAGTGCATACCCTTATGCCAAAAGAAGAAAAGAAAAAAGTGGATTTCTAATCTCAAACTATAGTCCAAGCATTGTTTTTTGGACTTTGATGCAAGTGCAAAGAAAATTTCCATATTTCCTAGTCCATTTAACTGTGTAGTTGAGTTACCCCAAACCTGGAACTGATTAATCTGTGTGTATTAATATGATAAAAGGCAAATACCAAGGAAAGAATGTACTGCTATAAATGCCTTCCAAGTAATGAATTTAAATGCTCACTTTAGCAGCCCATATATCAAGTAATTAATTTGATTATTTAAGATTATGTTTGTGTATATGTATCAGTATTGGCAATGTAGATTGGTTCAAAAAGACATTTTTCAAAGATAAAATCTCTTCACAGATCAGCATTAACATATGAACAATTACAGTTCACTTTTATGGTAGCAAACACTAACTTTGAATTCCAATTAAGCAAAATGCTATCCTTCCAAGCTCATTAGCAGACCTGTATAGCAAAATTATACTCAGTTAATGTATTTTGAATTTTATCAATAAAAACATTGTGGAAATTTTATTTCTCTTTTGCCATGTAAGTACCTATGTGATATTCTTGATTATGCTTGTTAGCCCCCAGGACTAAAATATTTGCTATGTGGCCTTTTACAGAAAAAGTGCTGATCCCTGGTAAAAAAATAATTACTCTGAGTTACCCTTAACCTGACCGGAGTTTACTCTTTCTTGTTTCTTGTCTACTACTCCTTTATTCCTAATTTACTCTTTTGTTTGTTTGTTTGTTTGTTTTTTCAGTACTAAGTATCAATCCCAGGGCCTTGCACATGTTAAGCAGGTGCTCTACCATTAAGCTACATTCCCAGCTTTAATTTGTTCTTTTCTCTCTTTTTTTTTTTTTTTTGTGGTACTGAAGTTTGAACTCAGCGCTTCATACTTGCTAGTTAGGTACTCTACCACTTGAGCCATACCTTCAGCCCTTTTTCTATAGTTATTTTGGAGGCAGGGTCTCACTTTTTTGCCTAGGCCTACCTGGACCTCAGTCCCCCTATTTTATGCTTCCTCCATAGCTGGGATGACAGGTGTGTGCTACCACGCCAGTTGTTTTCATTTATTTATTTTTATTTTTTTACCATTGAGATGGGGTCTTGCAAACTTTTAAGCCCGCCTAGAACTATGATCCTGTCAATCTTAGTTTCCATGTAGCTTGAGATGAGAGATGTGTGCCACTGTGCTCAGCTATGGTTAAGATGGGATCTGGAGAACTTTTTTGCACAGGCTGGTCTCAAACTGCAATCTCCCTGATCTCAGTCTTTCGATTAGCCAGGATTACAGGTGTGAGCCACCACCACCCAAATTCTAATTTATTCCCAATCTAGTGTTTCCCAGATTGCCTTGTGATAGAAGTTACTAGGTATGCTTGTTAGAAACCCATTCCATTCTGATTCATCCAGGTGCTGTGTTTTACAGTCAAGGAAATTTGGAAAGTACTACTAGAAGGATTTAACTCTGAGGCCTTATACTAATGGTACACTAAATTCCCCTATTAGTTTGTTCTCAATTATTTGCTGCTCTGTTCTCACCCTATTATTAGTTCTGCTGATCTGCTAATCCTTTGGCCCTTTCCCCCAGTCCCACATGAGTAAAGCACTTCACCACCTGTTGTGCATTTCTTAGGTATGGTATGTATAATTTTCAACTTTTAGATTATGTTTTATTAGACTGTATTGTTTTATACATGTACAAATTTTAAGTCTAACCTTATACCAGTATCTTTTATTAGAAAACAATAAGCTTTCAACACAGATTTGAGATAGAATCATCAAAAAAAGTTTGTATTCTAAATTAAAAACTGAGCTATAAATATTTCCAGTGATGATGAACTCTGTATGACCCATGTTGCCCACGGCTTACCTAATAATGAAAAAGATGTGACTGTTACATAATGATAATGCTTACTGTGTAAGACACAAAATGCTTTCATTATTATAATTTTTAGAGCATTGTTGATGCCAAATTTTTAACACTTTGCAATAATAATCATATTTTGATATTATATTAAGGTGATTAGCATTTTAAAAATCACATTGAAGCTGGGTGCAGTGGCTCACACCTGTAATCCTAACTACTTGGGGACAGATCTATAGGATTGAGGTTCAAAGCCAGCCTGGACAAATAGTTCCCAAGACTCCCAGCTCCAAAATAACCAGAGCAAAATGGATGGGAGGCATGGTTCACAACAGAAAAATTAAAGATAAATAAAGTAAACAACAGTAAGTCTAAATAAATCTTATCTCATAGAAAGTTAGTACACTTATTAGCCAGTGATATTTTGCTGTGTTTGCAAATAAGCCTGTATCCTCATTCTAACATATCCTTTAAGTCTCTTGGACTGGCAGTATTACTCAATGGCAGAGTGCTTGCCTAGCATAGATGAGGCCCTGAGTTTGATCTTCAGCACTGGAAAAACAAACAAACAAACAAACAGAGTAGTGATGTGTGACTGCATCTTAGTACCCAGGAGGCTAAGACAGGAGGCTCTTGAGTTTAAGGTCAGCCTGGGTTGCATAGTGAGATCCTGTCTCAAAAAAACCCAATAAATAAAAAACATTGAGTTCCATTCTCCTACCTCCTACCAGAGGTTGGGGAAGAAAGCCAGTAGTAATTTTATACATCCGTTCAAATTCATTGTGGAATGAGGGAGGACATAAATAAATAAAATAGTTCTTTATGTCAGTGGAAGAGTGAACATATCTAAAGATGAACTTCTGAGGCAGTGGGTGGTAAAGCATGCCTGTAATCTCAGCACTTAGGAGGTGAGGCAGGAGAATTCAAGGCTAGATAGTTAGACTCTGTCTCAAAAAAAGATGAACTTTTTCTTTTGCCTATCTTCAAAGAATTTGATCATGAGAGGAAAGTTTGTCCATTCCTAATATCAGTTCAAGTAAATATTGCTTCATTTACTTAAAAATGCTTGAATATAAAAGTAAATGGCACCAAGCTCCAATGGCTTATGCCTATAACCCTAGCTACTTGGGAAGCTGAGATCAGGAGAATCACGGTTCCAGGACAGCTCAGGCTAAAAAGGTTTGTGAGACCACATCTCAATGGAAAAAAACCTGGGCATAGTGATATGTGCCTGTAGGGGGATGGAAGGCCGGGACACCCTGGACAAAAAGCAAGACCCTCATCTCCAAAATAGCCAGAGCAAAAAGGGCTGGAGGCATGGCTTAAGGGGGAAAGTATCTGCCTTTCAAGCGTAGAGCTCTCAGTTCAAACCCCAGTATTGCCAAAAAAAGTAAATGTCTTTGCTTTAGTTAATTTTTTGTGTTAGTTGTATTTGATGTTATGGGTAAGCAATCTGATTTTTTCCCAGCATTGCTTATTAAAAACATACTGTAAAATCTTATTTTAATTAAAACGATCATTTCTTTTCTCAATGTTTTATAGATGAAATCAGCCTGTATAAAAGCCCTTACCCGTATATTTAAAATATCTGACCAGGATAATGATGGTACTCTTAATGATGCTGAACTCAACTTCTTTCAGGTAGCTTTTTTAGCTTCTTTGCCCATAAAAGCTAAAAAAAATATTAACTTCAATAACAATTTGTTGATAAGCCTTTTTCTTTTTCATGTAAAACTACCACATCAAACTATTTAAGCCCTTCCTTAGGGTATAAAAACTCTCTTATGCCTAGGAACTGAGGAGACTCTGATAGTTTCATTTCATTGTATACAGTGGGTGTATGAAGAATGACTTAAAGCATGAACTCTGAGTCATTTTGCTTTCTTGGTTTTGTACAGCATAACTACACAAAGAATCTTGTGTTACAGAAACAGAATTAGTGAAGTTGGGAAGTTTCTTTTCTTCTAAATATGTCATGCTCAAATAATACAAAGAAGAGGATTTGTCTCTTTTTATTGCAACTGTGGTTTAATGTTGCTTTGTAGATTATTGTTTTATATTATTTGTGGGTTTAATGCTGGTTTATTTTTAAACTTAATTGTTTTGTTTTTTTGCTAGAGAATTTGTTTCAACACTCCTTTAGCTCCTCAAGCTCTGGAAGATGTCAAGAATGTAGTCAGAAAACACATAAGTGATGGTGTAGCTGACAGTGGATTGACACTGAAAGGTAGGTCAATGGTTTTTCCACAACCTTCCCCTACCCCCTCACCTGGCTGGGGATTGAACTCAGGACCTTTCAAGTGCTAGACAAACACTCTACCATTGAGTTATGTTCCTCAGTCCTTTTCCCATCCTTTTAAGCTATTGAATATTTTTAAATTTGGCCAAAGATAAAGATCTTTGTAGCAATATTTATACTTTAAGGAAATGTCAGTATTTACTAATATGCCTAAAATTTGACTTGGTTAGGAGATGAGGGTGGTTATTATCCTTACTATCGATATTAATTAGAGGTAGGGAAATTGGTTGGATCTCAAGGATGAAGAGGTCCATCTGAAAGACATATCTGGAACAAAATCCTTCCTACTCATAAGCAGCCTTTAAATAGAAATTATTTTTAGGGACTTTGTCTATGAGTCAAATTTTCCCAAGTATAGACTGTTCCTTGTTGACATTTTGTTGAGCCACAGTGAAATAAGAAGTGAAATGAAATTCCAGAATTTTCCATTATAAAAATAAACTCAAAGATCTATACAGTATTTTCATTTGTGTTCATCATATACCTTTGTGTGTGTGTGTGTGTGTGTGTGTGTGTGTGTGTGTGTGTGTGTGTGTGATATAACTTTTTCACTGTAATTTTGGCCCTTTCATCTGTGTGTATGTATGTGTGTGTGTGTGTGTGTGTGTGATATAACTTTTTCACTGTAATTTTGACCCTTTCATCCAGTGCTCTCTCTTGCTGACCTGGGTGTATATGTGAAATGTCTCTGAAATGAGCTCTGTTTCATTGAGATACTTTTTTGATGTTACTATGAAAACTAGTATATCTCTTAATCTGAGACCTCTTGTCATTGTTATATGTTTTTCTCCCATGTAACTGTATCCTTCTTCACATCAACTGTATTTGCTGAATTACTTTATTTCAGGTTTTCTGTTTTTACACACACTTTTTATCCAGAGAGGGAGACACGAAACAACTTGGACTGTGCTTCGACGATTTGGTTATGATGATGACCTGGATTTGACACCTGAATATTTATTCCCCCTGTATGTACCTTTGCTTTCCTGACTGATTTCAGTTGTCAAGTATTTTTAAGTTTTATTTAGTACATAGGTAGGCTTCAAGCTCCTCAGGAGAAATTTAGAATTATTTCTCAGCCTTAGCAGCATCAACATTTTGGACCCAAAAGTTCTTTATCGTGGAGCCTGTTCTGTGCATTACAGAATGTTTAGCACATCCGTAGCTGCCAGTAACACATATTCCTGCAATTGTGACAACCAAAATTGTCTCCAGAAATTGCCATATGTTCCTGCAAAATCAAACTCATCCACAGTTGAAAGCCATTAATTATAGAATAGCTCGAACTTTTTCTCTTCTCATGGAAAATACAAGTTTTGTTTGTTTTTTTCTTTTTCTTTTTTTTTTTTTGGTACTGGAGTTTGATCCCAGGGCCTTGTACTTACTAGGCAGGTGTTTGCCCACTTAAGCCCCACCCCAGCCCACAAGTATCTTTTTTAAAGTCATTTTACTGAAGGAGAAAAAAGATGCCAGATAATCATGGTTTTAGACTCAAAAGATCAGAAATATATTGTTAGCATTTTTCTTTCCTTTTGTCAGTTTCTGCTCCTTCAGCTTAGGATAAAATAGTGTCTTCCTAAAGAACTGATCTATTTGTGCTTATTTTCCTTAGATAATGCTGCTTAAGTTTTTTGTTTAAAATGGACCCAGTGCCACCTCACCTCACACAGGAGACTGACTACCTTGCAGCAGGATACCTCTTCTCTACCCTTGGGAAGTAGGTTCTCAGGGACTATGACTTCCCACTATCTGGCTGTGGTTTCTTCAGTCTTTGTTCCTTACTTTTTCAGTGGCACATTACCTTCATGGTGTCCTTTTTAACTTTAGAGGTATCATCTCCAGCTACCTATGTAATGATTCAGAAAGTCTTAGTTGTTGTTTTTCCCTTCCCCATCATTAAAGAAGCAGTGTTCTTTGTCATTAGGCCTATTGATCAGTTCTAAGTTGAAAGTTTACTTGTCTAAGTTACTAAATTTTAGCTCAAGTTAATTTTCCAATAAATATATAGTGATGAATGAATTTGTCTTGGGATCCTTTCACAAAGTTTTCTTTATCCTGCTGTTTTTGTGAATGGATATATATTTTTTTCATTGTTGTGCTTGGTGGGGGTACACTGTGAAATTTATAAAAAGTTCTTACAATGTATCAAATAGGATACTTCTATAAGAGGCTCCTTACTGCTTTTTTTTTTTTTTTAAATAAGACAGAAGACTCCGTTTCGTAGGGCTTTTTTATACTCTCTGCTTTTGATTTTCTGCAGAATAACCCCCTTGAGCCACCATGTGAAGCTCTCCAACTTTCTTATTAACTCTACTTTTGTGCTTCCATTACTGTTAAATTAGAATGTGCGCGCAAGTGCACACACACATACAAACACAAATTTAGCCATGTGATCTCTCTTCAAGACACAAGATAAAGCCTTGTGTATGAGGGTATTTTTTTTTTGCGGGGGGGGGCTGGGGTGGTTGCTGGGGTTTGAACTCAGGGCCTTGTGCTTGCTAGGCAGGTGCTCTACCACTTGAGCCACACCCCCAGCCCTTTTTGCTTTAGTTAGTTTTTTTGAATAGGGTCTTGCTTTTATGCCACGGCTGACCTGGATCTCAGTCCTCCAGACCTCTGCCTCCTGAGTAGCTGGGACAACAGGCATGAGCTACTGTGTACCACTAAGCCTAAGCCTCTTAACATATCTGAGGTCATTCATGATCGGCTATGCTCATACTCTCCCCTCCTTCATTCTCAAAGTAAATACTGAACTATTTATGGTCCACCAAACATATGTTATTTTCTACTCTAGGCTTTTGCCTATGCTATTTTCACTCTTCTCTCTTTCCCCTAACCTAATTAATGCTTCATCCTTTAAGTCTCAATTCAGGTGACAATGACTATCAGTAGTGTTAACACCTTCCTTCCTATCTCCCAGACCACAGATGTTCCCTTTTATGGTGGCTCCTCTAGTATAATTAGCTTACATACTTAGCACTTGACTCACTCTATAAAGATCTGTTTGTGGACCACCTCCCACTTGAATAGAGAGCATATCATTATAAAAAAGACAAAAAATAACAAATATTGCTGAGGATGCAGAGAAAGGGAGACTCTCATACACTGTTCGTGTCAATGTAGATTAGTATAGCCATTATGTATACAAAATAGAGTTACTGTATGACCTGGCAATTCTACTATTGGTTATATATCTGAAGGAAATAGAATCATTGTATCAAAGAAATACCTGCATCTGTCATGTTTATTACAGTACTCATTGGTCACAGTAGCCGTGATACGGAATCAACCAAGATGTCCATCTGTGGATGAATGGATGAAAAAAAATTGCTGTATATACAGAGTGAAATATTTTTCAGTCATAAAGAATGAAATCCTGTCATTGGCAGCAACATAGATAGAACTGGGTAATGCTAAGTGAAGTAAAATAAGCCAAGCACAGAAAGACAGATACCATAGGTTCTCACTCACTTGTAGAAGCTAAAATAGTTGATCACAAAGAAGTAAAGAGTAGTATGAAGGACAATAGAGGACAGGAAAGGGAGAGTAGAGGGAAGGTAGATAGAAGGTTGATAATGGTACCAAAATACAGTTGGGGGCAGAAGTATGTCGGATGGTCTTTAGAATAGTAGGGTAACTAGAGTCTGTAAGGATTAAGTATACATTTTCTTTTTATTTATTTATTTATGTTTTTTGTGGGACTGAGGTTTGAACTCTGGGGTTTGTGCTTGTAAAGCAGATGCTCCACTGCCTGAGCCACATTTCCAGTCCATTTTTGCTCTGGTGTTTTGGAAATAGGGTCTCGTGAACTATTTGCCTGGGCTGGCCTTAAATCATCATCCTCCTGATTTCAGCCTCCAAGTAGCTAGGATTACAGGCATGAGCCACCAGTGCCCAGCTTAATTATACATTTCAAATCAATTGGAGGAAATGATTTTTAAGGTTCCCAACACATAGAAAGTATAATATTTGAAGATATGTAAATGGTAATTACCCTGATTTGATCATTACACATCATATACAGCTATCAATTTATAATACTGTACAAACAAATACAAATATTATGTTGGTTAAAAAAATTAAAATGAAAAAAAGTAGGAAGCCTGCCTTGTTTTTGTCTCCCTGGTACCTAACTCACTATATTTTATTAATGTTTATTGAACTGAATGTAAGTAAGATAGGTCAAATCAGGCAAAAATAACTTTTCTTCACAGAATTTTCAACTCATTACAATGTTGACATTAATATTAAATCCATAATTAGGTCTTACAATTTGTTTATAGGAAGAACAAACTATTACAGCTTAAGTTTTTATTTCATTGTGTTCCTCTGATACTTAGGAAGAGTATGTATGTCTCTTTGAAATGACTCTTAATTATGACTCTTCAGAGGAGTCCTGTAACCACTCCAGAGACTTTCCCTGAGAAGATCTATACATAGTATAAAAATACACTGTATATTTTTATATATAGTGTCATCCCACAAAAATGTTTACTGCAATTTTGTATTCATTTTTTAAATTTTAATATTTTATTATTTTATTCTTAAATTTTTTCATTTACAGACTAAAAATACCTCCTGATTGCACTACTGAATTAAATCATCATGCATATTTGTTTCTCCAAAGCACCTTTGACAAACATGATTTGGTAAGCTTTTAGTTGCAGTTTTCCATGATATATGGTAAATGTTGGAGGGAGAAGGAGCACTGCGATTTGGACTCAGGGCTTTATGCTTGCTAGGCAGCTGCTTTACCACTTGAGCCATGCCCCCAACACTGGTAAAATATTATTCCTGGGAATGATTTTTCTTTGTTTTCTTAGCTATGAGATGCTTATGTTATATAACCAAAAACTTCAAACTCTCTAAACCAGCAAAAATATTGTCTGCTATTTTACTGTTATCTCAAGATCAAAAAAAATCTAATTTCTGACAGACTCTTTTACAGGTTTTCTTATATCCAAGTGAGGAATTTTCTTGATAAAATTTCTTATCATTTAGAAGTATAGGTTTTCTAGGTTAGGGATCTTTTTTTTTTTTTTGGTGGTGCAGTTGCTTGACCACTTGAGCCACACCTCTAGCCTTTAGATTAGGGATCTTTTATGTTTGGAATATATTTATATTTAAATATTATTTGCTTCCTTGTTTATCTTTAGGATAGAGACTGTGCTTTGTCACCTGATGAGCTTAAAGATTTATTTAAAGTTTTCCCTTATATACCTTGGGGGCCAGATGTGAATAACACAGTTTGCACAAACGAAAGAGGATGGATAACCTACCAGGGATTCCTTTCCCAGTGGACGTGAGTATAGAGCTCACCTCTTTCCTCTAAAGTTCTATGTAGTTTAAAATTATATTACGTTTTTCAGTTTGTAAGCTTGTCAGCTTTTATAAAATGTTTCAATCCTAACAACCTCCAAGCAAGATTTATAGTACTGCTGGATATCTTTAAGATGAGCTATAGATACTCTATGATTCAGGAAGGGTTTGTTTTCTTTTGGGTAATGGTATTGGAAAACAGTAATAAGTAAGTCTTACATCAAAACTGAACTAAAGGGCTGGGATGTAGCTCGGTGGTACAGCGCTTGCCTAGCATGCGTGAGGCCCTGGGTTCGATCCCAGCACCAAAAAAGAAAAGACAAAAAAAAAAAAAACTGAACTAATTTATAGTACTTCTTATTTGATTAAGAAAATTAGAAATGTCGTTGCTATTACACAATTACTCCTTCAACATGTTAAGAGAAGCATATTTTTCTGGACTTTGAAGACTTACTGGATTATTTAATGTCAGTTGTTCATTTTTAATGATTTTTTTCATTTGGGAAGTATACTGGGGTTTGAATTCAAGGCCTCATACTTACTAGGTATGTGTTCTGCCCCTTGAGCCACACTTCCAGCTCTTTTTGCTTTAGTTTATTTTTCAGATAGGTTCTCATGTTTTTGCCAAGGGCCATCTTCTGACAGTGATCTTTCTGTGTACACCTGTAATAGCTGGGGTTACAGATGTGGGCCACCACATTTCTGCCTAATGAATTCATAATAAGACTTAAGATTTCTCCACAGCCTAGTTATAGTGTGGTTGACATTGTGTCTAAGGTATGAAGGAAATTCTTTGGTTTTGCATGATGACATCATTACTTTAGCCTTGGTGAGACTCTTTCAACATTAAGATCTTTTCTTTTTTGAAATGCATAAGAGAGTTCAACTAGTTTCAGGTGCCTTTCACTTATTTTTGTGCTTTTGTCAAACCTTTTCAGATCTGTTTAATTACTGTCTTCACCTGGGTAGTATGTGTGGCACACTGTACATTGTCTTGGGAAGCAGATAATACATCCCTACTGTAGTTTTTGCCAGCCACTCACTGCTCATCTTTGTAGCCTTGCTTTCTTCTGCAGGTGGAGAAAATAGAGAAATTTGCCCTCATCTTGCATTCTCCTCCTTTTCCTCTCTGCTATAAAAATGATGTAGGAAAAGCCATAGTTGGGCATGAAGGAAATTAAAGCAGTCTGATAAACATTCTCTGGGTCTGGGGAATAACATTTTTTGAGTTGTTGGAATTTTCTTTCTGTGAATGCTCATTTAGGAACCTATCACCTTGTAAACGTCTCCCTTATTTAGGCTCACGACCTACTTAGATGTACAGCGGTGCCTGGAGTATTTGGGCTATCTAGGCTATTCCATATTAACTGAACAAGAGTCTCAAGCTTCAGCCATTACGGGTAAGTATCTGGGTACTATTCAGTCCATGATTAGGAACATTGTCTTTTTAAGACTCCAGTTTCAAATGTTACAAAAAGTAAAATTAAACTCATCTTCATTAATCCTTTATATTTACACTCTATTAGTTTTCCTCGTGACTTGGTAATTTCTTTTGAGTTGAGATGCTTGATTTTTATTTTATCAAAATAAAAGAGTAGAGGGCTGGGGGTGTGGCTGAAGTGGTAGAGCACCTGCCTAGCAAGTGTGCCGCCCTGAGTTCAAACCCCAGTACCACCAAAAAAAAAAAAGTCCAAAGTAAATGATCAATTCAAAATAAAAGAGTAGAGCTTTTGCTTCTAGTATACTCTCTGGGATATTCCACTGATGAAAATGAGGGAGAACTATGGGCATTAAAGGCTTTAGGAGTCTAATTTGCATTTTAATTTTCTTTAAGTATTCAAAATGGGATAGGCATGGTGTCACATGCCTGTAATCTCAGCACTCAGGAGGTAGAGGCAGGAGAATCATGAGTTTAAGCCCAACTTGCAATACATAGTGAGACCCCATCTCTAAAAACAAACCAACAAAGCCTATTAATACATGATCCTGCTGGGCACCCGTGATCCTACTTCAGAGGCTGAGATCAGGAGGATCACATTTCAAAGCCAGGTGTGGCTCAAGCAGTAGAGTGCCTGTTTTGCAAGCCCAGTCCCACAAAATAAAAAAACAACAAAGAAAACATGATTCTGAATTAATTAAACATCTTTTATTATGTGATCTTTTTCCTTATTAATAAATCTTTTGTAGATCTTGAATATAAACCATTCATTCTTGCCAAAGTAATGTGTTCCACTCAAAGAAAACCCATAGGTATGGAAATAATGAATTAAAGAATTGATCATTTCAGGAGTTTCTTATATCCCAGGTGGTGTAAAATCTGCCATATCATACAGGAAGCCCTAGCCTAAGAAGAGAGCCTTTTTAAAATTGGCAAGAGCAAGTACTTAAGCAGTGGGCTGGAGGTATGACTTAAGCAGTAGAGCACCTGCTTTGCAAGCTTGAAATCCCATTAAAAAACAAATAAAAAGTAAATTTTAAAAAAAGTACTTAACCAGTTAACAATATTTAATTGCATTACAGAGTAAGAAACAAGCTAATCATGAGGTTCAACAACATATGGTGGACATTTTTATATAAATAACTATGTGTTTTGCATCTTTAATGTGCTTATTTAACTATCCCACAATTGTATGTTTTTATTTTCAGTTTTATACAATTAGTAATCCCTCTGCAGAGGCTCTGCAGTAGTTGCCTCTTTGGGTACAATTTACAGAGGTCTCTTTACCTCAGGAAGATGTACCCAGTTGTGCTAATGATACAGAATTATTTTCCAGCCTGCTTCTTTTACAGATTTCTGTTTAAAAGGCTAACTAGCCCTAGAGTGCAAATCGCCTCCTATTTGTAAGATCCAGCTCCAAGAAGATGCAGATTTCAAATAGCATGTTTTAATTTGTAGTTTATTATAGTAATAATTTATCTCAAAAAATTAGGTGGATATAATATTATCTGCAACCATGGTTTTTTATTCATTTTAGGATATTTTCCTAGTGAAAATATGCTATTTATTTTATGATGAGATAAATATCATTTAGTTATTGAAGATTCACTTTATAGTCAACATTAAAAAATGCATCTTTCCCACTTAAGTGATACCCTTCTGCATTATATTTTATATATTATTTCACATACAGCATGACTGTTGTGTAGATGCTTGTATATAGATTAAACACTTCATTAAAATGATAAACAGAATACCAAATTTTGCAGAAGATTGGGCGGAGGTTCAATGAGACTCAGTGATATGTATTTAGTGTTATTTTTTTTTTTTTTAGTAACAAGAGATAAAAAGATAGACCTGCAGAAAAAACAGACTCAAAGAAATGTGTTCAGATGTAATGTAATTGGAATGAAAGGCTGTGGGAAAAGTGGAGTACTTCAGGCTCTTCTTGGAAGAAACTTAATGGTGAGAGTTCTCAAAATGTAGAATGTTATCCCACAAATTTTTGTAGTGATGACTTTACATAATTTTGTATAGCCATTAACTTTCAGATGACTGCTGGAATTCATTGGCCTACATATATTAGACCAGTACAATCTAAAGTAACAGTAGCACTGGGCATGGTGGTATACACCTGTAATCCCAACGCTCTGGAGGCTGAGGCAAGAGGATAGCAAATTCAGGCCAGCCTGGGCTTATAATCAGACCCAGACCCTGTTCAGAGACAGAGACAGAGATAGATAAGAGACAGTAATCTTGTTGAACTAGCTGGTTTCATTGGTATTAGCTATCATTTGTCTTTTTTTAAAAAACACTGCTTAGATGGGGATTAAACAACTACCCATGTGAAAGCACCTAACAAGAGTCCTTGGCATGAAATAAATGTATAATAAATGTTTCAAATTGAGTACTAATACCTAGTTCTGATTATTCCTTTGAGTAAGAAGTATGATGTGCTTCCAGATTAGTCTCATATCAAACCAAATTATAGTGAGAATTGCCAGCAGGTGACTGTAGAGTACACTGCACAAAACAGTTTACTTCTGCTTTAGCTACTGCTTTCACTTTATGCAGAACAAATGAATCATTTGTCTAAGAACAAAGAAACATAAAATCAATATTCCTTTTGAACTGATAAGTAGTATATCGTGTAGAGAAGAATACTCTTTTATTTATAACTCACCCACATACATACATACATAAAGGTGTGTGTGATGATTAAACTAGTTACTGTGATATCTTACTATAAATATTGAGATTTTGGTTCTATTTTCAGAGGCAAAAGAAAATTCGTGATGATCATAGATCCTACTATGCAATTAACACTGTTTATGTGTATGGACAAGAGAAATACTTGTTGGTAAGAATTCCTGTTATACAAATATTTTAATTATTGGGTACATTTTTTAAACGTTTTTATTAGTACATGTTAGTTGTACAGGGAATTTTGTTGTGACATTTCTACATATACATACAATGTACCCCGGTTTGGTCCATCCCCTCCAGTATTCTACTTCTTCCTCCCCTTTCTTAAAATGACTCCGACAGGTTTCAGTGTTCCATATTCACATGTGTAGAAAGTACATCGACCAGATTCACCCTCCTTTGCCTAAGCTGCTTTTAGAAGGGCAGTTCCATGCTTCTTTCCCATAAAGTATGTAAGCGTATTATGAATAATAATGAATCTTGCTGCAGAACGAGAGCAATTCAAGATAGCTCCATGACGCACAGAGTTGTTTCCTAGAGTGGAGCATATTATGCCACTTCTCAACTTCCTAGCTAAGCTGCTTTTATTTTTTTAACATTTTTATTATTAACTGTGCAGAGGATAATTATTGAGTACATTTTTAAATTACTAAAACAGTGACTTTAACTTAATTGCTGTATGTAGAACTTGTATGTGCTTTTTTTTTTCACCTGGTTTTATTCACTAGAATACTTATTACTTTGATCTGTGTGATGATTACATGTGTGGAGGCAAGTAAAAACACATCATTTTGTACACTTAATTGTACATTAGCTATAGCACAATAAGAAAGTAAGACATGAGCCAAGCACTGGTGGCTCATGTTTATAATTCTGGCTACCTGGGAAGCTGAGTTCAGGAGGATTGCAGTTTGAGGCCAGCCCAGGCAAATAGTTCACAAAACCCCATCTCACACCAAAAAAAAAAAAAAGAAAGAAAAAGAAAAAAAGGCATAAGAAAATAAACTCCCCTATACTTTTCGATCTGTTAAATAAAAAAAAAATAACACGTATGAAAGGAGGATCTGGCTGAACAGGCACCATGAAATACAGTAGAAAGAGGTTATATGCTATCCTTGCATCATTTCAGTTTCAACCTTGGTCCACCATTGATTGGTTGTGTGACCTCTGGCAAGTGACTTACTCTATGTGAAGCCTAAATCTGTTAGTTCCCTACTGAAAAACTCCTAACAAATAATAAGTACTAGCAAAAGTTCATTCTATTTCCATTTCTTTTTGGAAATAGTTTATTTTGCCAGGTGATGACATTTATCAATATACACATTTTACTCTTTCTGATAAAAGTTTGTCAGTCTTTTATTAAACCTTGTCTGTCTCCTCTTTCAATAGTTTTCAATATTCAGTACTCAGTAAATATTGTTAGCTGTTAATTTTCCTGAGTTTTTTTGTTGTTATTTTTTGTTTTGGTGGTACTGGGGTTTGAACTCAGCTTTACACTTGCTAGGCTGGTGCTCCACCACTTGAGCCACTCCCCTAGTCTCTGTTTTCTTATTCTTACACTATTCTTTGTAAGTCATATCTTTCATGTTTATGACTATGCATGCTGTAACAGTGTTTTACTTGGAATGTGTTGACCCCCTTCTGTCTCTATACTTCCCCTTTCATCTTCTCAATAAAGATACACTATCTCATGGCAGTGCTAGTGGCTCACACTGTAATCCTAGGTTCTTGGGAGTCTGAGATTGGGAAGATCACAGTTCCAGACAAGCATGGGTAGGGAGTTTGCAAAACCCCATCTCAACCAGTAGTTGGGCTCTGTGGTATGGTCCTTTCATCCTAGCTACATGGAAGGCTGAGATAAGGATGATTGTAGTTCTAGGCCAGACTGGGCAAAAAGTTTGTAAGACCCCATCTCAACACAAAAAAAGCTGGCTGTGGTGGTGAGCTTGTCATCCCAGCAATGGTGGAAAGCTTAAAATAGGAAGATAGCAGTCCAGGCTGGTCTGGACAAAAAGTGAGACCTGTCTCCGAAATAACCAGAGCAAAAAGGGCTGTGTGGAGCTCAAGTGATAGAGCACCTACCTAAGCAAGCACAGAGCCCTGAGTTCAAACCTCAGTACCACACCACCCCCCAAAAAAGAATTATGTGCTATCTCATATTATTCAGTACTGGATTTTTCTCTTGTTGGATCATTGTCATATGAAGGGAATTTTATAGTCAACATTGAAAAGAATAAGCAATGGAGGAAAACAAAATGACCTTAGTATAAAGAGTCATTTGCTTTGTGTTATTAATTACTGGGAAGAAAAGGTAGTGTGGTAGAAAAGAAAATATACTTGGTAATCATATGTGAGTTCCAGTTTTGTTCTGATGATTTCTTAGATATATTTTCTTTTGTGGTTGGCTTAATCTTTGTAGCCTACATCCTTATCTTTAGAATATAGACAATGCATGTAAAGGGCTTATCCCACACACGTTAGTCATTCACTAAATGTTACTTCTTAGTTATTTTTTTCTGTGTGTGGGACTGGGGTTTGAACTCAGGGCTTTGTGCTTACAAAGCAGACACTGTATCACTGAAGCCATGCCTCCCATCCATTTTGCTCTTGGTATTGTAGAGATAGGGATCTCTAGAACTGTTTGTCCCAGGTTAGCCTCAAACCACAATCCTTCCAATCTCAGCCTCAGAAGTTTCTAGGATTATAGGTTATAGATCATTTTTATCTATAAATTAAATCATTTAATCATTTTTATCTATAAATTCAGAAGGTATTTGTTCATCTGTACTTCCTACTTCTAAAAATAGTTTGAAGTTATGCTTAATTAGTATTTTTTATTAGAAAGTCCAGTTGAGCAAGTTATAATACATCATGATTTTATACATCAATATTATGATACTTATGTTTCTCATTATCTTTTTTTTTTTTTAACAAGTTGCATGATATTTCAGAATCGGAATTTCTAACTGAGGCTGAGATCATTTGTGATGTTGTATGCCTGGTATATGATGTCACGAATCCCAAATCCTTTGAATATTGTGCCAGGATTTTTAAGGTTTGTTACTTTTATGGATTATGACTAAATATAACTTTATATGGAGTTGTAGTGGAATTACAGTGAGATGTTTCCTAACCAGAGAAATGCAACAAAATCATTTGTGGAACTTTTTAAAAACACCTACATTTCTTTTCCTCTCGCTAAAAGTTGTTGTTCATACTACAATGGTAGAGTCTCAGACATGTTTTTTATTTTTTTAATTTTTTTCCACATGTGACTTTGATGTGCATTCCTGGTTAAGAACTTCTGCATTAACGGAAGGTCTTCATGGCTGTTAGGAACACATATGGATTTTATATTGCCACTTATCTCAAGAATAACAGCCAGAGCAAGAGGATAAACCAGAGGCTTGGAAAGTATTTCAGTCACTTTGAGATTATCAACAAAGTCAGTAAGAGGAAAAAAACTGTGTACAAAGGTATTTATTCCAGCATTGTTTTTCATAGCAAAAACTGGAAATAAACCAGTAACAGTAGATGATGGTTTTCCAAATTAATAAAATAATCTCGTAGAATATTAACCAGTCATTAAAAACAATAGTTTTTAATTCTGAAGAACAGACAAGATAGAGTATTACATTTTAAAATACTTATGGTCAGCATGACTGAAACTGTGTGAACATATATATAAGTACATGTGCTCAAAGACTAGAGGTAATAGGAAAACCTGAAAATAGCCTTTGTTAGTTTAGAAGTTAGATGGATTTCTTTTTATTTCAATATGTTTATTTCTCTTTTTTTTGACATTTTAGCAAGAATTCATTTTAATATAACAGGATAAAGTATAGATAAAGGGGTAGGAAAGGAAAAAGAGAGATAAACACTTTCTGTTTCCCATGAAGAAATGGGAGCAAAGACTCATTGTTTCTTTTTAATTTAAAAATGTTCAAAAAAAATAGAGTGAATCTAAAGAATTGGGATAAGTCCGTTTTATTACCTGCATTAGAAAAGTGCTCCTAGTCACAGTTATATGAGACTGATTAGACCTCTACCAAACTTTGCCTCTTGGTTCATTTTCTCTTTTTGAAACTATTGTTGCTTTCCTATCCAGAGAAAATTTGTAGTTTACATTTAGCTAAATAGCTAAGTTTTGAACTTGTCATCAGATTTTGATTACATTTTTTATTCCGTAGCAACACTTTATGGACAGCAGAATTCCTTGCTTAATTGTAGCCGCAAAGTCAGACCTGCATGAAGTTAAACAAGAATATAGTCTCTCACCTACTGATTTCTGCAGGAAACACAAAATGCCTCCACCTCAAGCCTTCACTTGCAATGCTGCTGATGCACCCAGTAAGGACATCTTTGTTAAATTGACAACAATGGCCATGTACCCGTAAGTACTTGCTCTGTCTTCATTTTCATGTTGCATGCTGCATAATAACATTGCATGCCATATTAGCCATGAGGGGGAATCTTTGTCACTTACAAGTTGTTCAGCAACAGGAGACTTTCTTATGAGAAGGGACAAATTTCAGCAACTGCAAGTTTGGCTTGGGTGTCATAATAAAATAACATAAACACTGCTTCTGACAATATTTGTACACTTTTGTACAGCTGTATGTCTCTTCACAAATGGTACAGTAAAGCACAGTCTCCACCCAGAATTAAAAAATAGTCTTACTGCAATAACATGGAGCTGTCATGATGTTGCTTTATGCCTGTAAGGCATCTCCCTGTGAACACAAAACTCATTTTTACACTTTTCTGTTAATTAGTTGACCTTGGGTATGTGAAGGATTCTAAAATCTTTTATGAATTTATGTTGAACTTAGGTTTTATGTTTGAGTTCAGGATACATTGTGTTTTTTAAGTGCTGTTTAAAAAAAAAAGTAGTTGTAATCAGAATTTCCACTATCCAAATGTTTTGCATTGTTATGAGCCACAAATTTCATGTACATTTATCATATATACATATATATACGTGCACATATACAAGCACATAACTTGTTACCTTCATAGCTTACTAACTGTCTTAAATTTGCATGATTCTTAATGAAATTGTCAAGTAATGCTTGTATAATTCTGTTTTGTAACAAAATAGTTTTTCAGGCAGTGCGTTTCTCAGGACCTAATATCTTATTCTATTTATTCTTATGGTAGTCTCTAAATTATTTGTCTTCTTATGAGAAAACTATAGTATAAAATAGAGTAAGAAGGAAACATTGATTGCTATAAATCAAGACTGAGGCTTTGCAGAAAGGTGTTCATTTGGACCGATTTTAAAATCAGAGTTAACTTTACTGGTATTCCATTAACTAATACTTTAAAAATATGCAGCAAAACCTTTGAGTTTCTATTTGTATTGGAAGACAAGTCATTCCTATTAATATAAGATAAGCGAAACCTTATTTATGTTTTACTTCTGCTTTCAAACTCTCATGTATGTTATCTACAGAGAGGATCATTACAGAGGCAGATTCTCCCGAGACATGGGCAACACTGATAGAATAGAGAAATTGAGAAAAATCTGGGTCTTTCTAAAAACTACTTTGTAAGTTACTTTTTCTTTATGACTTCTGTGGGATTTTGTTAACATTTTCTTATAGGATGACCAAATCTCCTTTCTTGCTATAATTAACATTAGTAATTATCTGGAAACGCACTGCTTGGTCAGACTTTCTGCCTAACTATATTGTGGTGTCTTCTTTACTATGTAAATGTACTTTTTAAAAATCTTGTAAGTAACAGCAACTGTTTTTAGATCTGTGTCTCTAAAATATTTTACTGTAATTCTTGTGTGTGTTTATATATGATAAATGTACATACCTGGATACTGTTTATATAGTTAATCCCAAACTACTTCTCATGAAGCATCTCACTGTTGCTAAGCAAACTTTGCATCTCTCCTTTTTGGTGGATGGAGCCTTGTATGTGTTGAAGAGTCAGATTCCGTTTGTAAAATAACAGATGGATTCCAGTATGACAGCTGACAGTGACTTAGTAGCAGTGATACATTATCATCACGAGTCAGGTTTTAGAAACGAATGTCTTGAGCATTAATTCTCAAAATTAATTCTTGTTTTTTTTCATGTTGGGAATTAGGCATTATTGGGATGCTGCTAATCTCTACAACCATGCCACTGTGTACTGTGGTCTCATCAGATCTCACAAACTAAGCCAAGTCAGATTGGGCAGTCCTTTGACTGAAAACCTCTAAAAATGATCAGGTGTTACAGGAAGTGATGGCTTTGATTCACCAAGTGGCACTCTTCTGAGTGACTTCTGCTCCAGTACTTCTTTGTGGGTGGTGTGATGGCTTTGTGTGTCTGAGTGGCTCTGACCACTGAAGAGTCATTGGGAACCCCTTACTTTGGTAGTCAAGGCTTAAGTGAAATGGGTTGTCCCTTGTGCCTGAACTAACTAGTGCAACTCCACTCAACCAGAAAGGAGTCAGAAAATCTTCCTAAATTTCATAACTGATCTCAATTGGATCCATTGTTTGAGTTTCATACTATCATACTTAGCTGCTATGTTTTGGTAGCTGATGAAATTAACCCCATATTTTGTGCTAAGTGGAAATTTATGAAGCACTTTGTTTTCCTTTGGGAGCCAGGGTGCTTGATGAATTAAAGACGACGTTGTTCATATCTTCTCAGGGTTGAATATACTCGTCTTTTGACTCTTTTGTGTATTTGTCACTATTCTCCTTCCTGGTTTTTAGGCATGTGTGTATGCTGAGGGAGAACGAGGAGGAGGGAATGGTTGTTTAAATGATAGCCTTGTCCTTTCAGTTGGTGCTATGGCTTACTCGATTTTTATTTTCATTAACTGAGATGAGGGTGGCATCTATCGCTGTGCATATTTATTCCACTAAAACTCATTTAATAACAATTCCATTCCCCCCTCCAAAAAAGCAAATATGTCAGCTAACATTCCTTAGATTTTCTACAGGGAGGGAGGAGGAAACTATTACTGCTTATTATGTTTTTGGTAACTGTGGAATTCTGCACAACTTTAGCATGCCCCACACTGTCCTTTTCCTTTCTACAAAGAGTGTTGCTTATGCCTAAATTTTTTTTAAGTTGGCACACCCTGACCTGTGCCATATTTGTAAGTAAGAACTCAACCCTGTCCTTCTGTGTGTTTTCGCAGCCATGCCCGGTTACGCTGTATGTGCACCTGCAACAGGTGTACATTTTGCATCTGTCAGAACTTCCTCAACTCAGACTTGCTGCAATCTGTAAAGAACAAAATCTTCACTGCAGTTCTTAACAGGTTCTTAACTTTATTTACTGGGTACCAGGCATTCTGTTAAAATACAAAAGAAAAAAAAGTGGATAACTATTTATTATACCGATACTCACTGCAAAGACAACAAACCAACTGATGCCCCACTAACTTCCACTAAAATTCTCACTGTAATGACAATGTTTAGTTTCAAAGCATCCTTAATAATTATTTAACTAATAGGCTTATTTTGAGGTGTATAAAATAAGATTTGGAAATTTTCTTATTAGGAAAATTAGTTTTCTTTCATACTAGAAGCTAATATGTACAGGGAGATTAAAATCTTTTGGCTGAGTTATAGAAACAGATTAAGACTTATAGTAAGGAAAAGGCAGGTTGATCCCAAATGAAAGATGTTGTGTTATACTATACTCAGATTATACTCACATACTATACCTTCTTGAAACATACTGATATTAACAATATTTTGAATTGCAAAAACCTTTATTCTTGAACCATTTAGAATTACAGTCTACCTTTACTTTAAAAAAAAAAAAAAAGTACCTGGAATGCTTACTTGGAAGAACATGGTTTCTGGAAATGAGGATAATGACTAACTTTTAAGGACTTGAAGGAATATGAAAAAAAAAATCTTTTGTACTGGTTTTTGAGGTCTTTATAATTGTGTGAAAATGCAAAATATTCCTGTAAGATAGTACACTTTTTAAAAAGGAGACGAAAAGGATGTATTCATTCCCTCAAAGCAATGAACTTGGAAGGTTGTATTCTTATTTGATCATGCTGCCTTTGTGCAAATCGGGTTTATATTTTTTGAGAATTTAAAAGCCTATGTAATATTGATTGTGTCTGATGTCAGATTTGTAGGTGTCTAAGGATGAATTCAGATTTGAGATCATTTAAATATCACTGGGAGCTGACTTGATTAAATGGATGACAAGTTCTAAATGATAGGTTGTGGTTAGAAATGGTTCAGTTATTTGGTTCACTGTTAGATACTTCCTGTATCATATGATCACCTGCAATATAGTAGTTGTGTCTGTGAAATGGTTATGCTGTTTCTGACATGATTCAGACACTGATTTTAAAGGCATTCTAAAAGAGTGTGTTAGTGGTGTTCTGAGCATTTGCAGTTATGGAATAAGAATGTGACCATCTCGGGCTTGCTTTGAAGGGATGACTGGATTTATTTGGTGGTAAAGTTCTGTCTCTGACCTTTGAGTGCATCTTGTAAAGGAGTAACCTAGTCAGACTCCCTCATGATGACTGAGGAAACAATATTCAGGAGCTCTAGTGTTGGGAATATTAGAGTGTGACACATTCTAGAATTCATCTGGCCTAACTTCCTCATAGAATACCTTCCTGCAAACTTTCCTGAGAGATACTGTTTAGTTGCTCATGGCATTCTTCTTTTGAGTGGGTTTTTGCTTTTGCTTTTTTTTTTTAATAGCTAAAATGTTTTCCTTATAACTTTCTCTCCTTTAGTTTTAGTTTTGCCCTTTAGACAGCATATGTGTATTCTACTCCCTCTTCAACATAGCAGTCCTTCAGACAATTGAAGATGACCATCATGTCTCCCCTAATTTTCTCTTCTCCAGGTAGAACATTCCCATTTCTTTCATCCATTTCTTAAATTAGATGGTTTAGAGTTCCCATCACTCCTAGTGGTCCTCCTATGAAAGCATATTAACTTTCCAGAGTACTTCTTAAAAGGGGCCACCTAGAACAGATAACAGTGCTCCATATATGAACTGAGAACAGTAGATAATCACGTTCTATAGTTAGAACAGCACCTGTATAGTGCCTAGATTAATTTTCTACCAGCTAATCCTACTGCTGGCATATTTTCCTTGGGTTGACTGAAATCAGATTTTTTTTCCATAGGAAGTGCTATTTAGACAGATGACCCTTCCTCTCTAATTGTGTATTTAACATTTTAGTTGACTCTTGAGTATAAATGCAGATACACATCTATCTATTAGATGTCATATTTTTAATCCATTTGTTCTAGATCAGTCATTTCAAACATTTCTGTCATTTGTTTCATTATGTATCTCCCAGTATTGTGTTATTTGCAAATTTGGTAGATATGCCTTATCTTTCAAGTTATTCATAAAAATAATATTGAATACTCAGAGGTTGGAGAGAGAAAAGTAAAGTGAGCAAGCCCTGTGTTACTCCACTAGGAAACTGCCAATGAGAGGTTCAGAATTCTTGGGGAAGTATTTTTTTTTTTTCAGTCAGTCAGTTAAAAATGTATTATTGAAGCCTGGCATGGTGGGACTGACAAGTATTCTCAACACTGAGGAGGCTGAGGCAAGAGGATCATAAGTTCAAGGCCAGCATGGGCTACATAGTGAGTGTGAGGTCTCCCTTAGCTACATAGCAAGACCCCTATCCTATATAAATTGTGTGTGTGTGTGTATCATATGTGTCTTTTAGTCTTATCAGAGATTTCAGGAAGGGTTTTATAAAATCACTGTTTAATTTTTACCACATTTCTCAGAACTACCAATGTCATTTTATCTAAAAAGGAAGTGACATCTATTAGATGTCTTATTCCTGGTGAGCCCACCTTATCCCCCTGTAATTGCTGATTACAAACCACCTATTTTATTATCTATTCTAGAATCTCTTGATTGCCCATGCTAGCAGACTGATTCATTTTCTGCATCGTTGGTAGCAATTTTTTCCTAGGCTGGTTTAATCAGCTTCCAGATGACATAGGTTAGATATGCCTTAAATGGATGCGCTTGCTCTTGGTAAACTGCTCTATACAGTGATCCTCAAAGAGAAATGAGTACATTTTGTCATATCTATTTATAAACTGGAAGTGATTTAATAGTAGAGTCAGCACACATCACTGACATCTGGTAATCAAGAATAAAAGCAATGGAAAGATGAGTAGAGAAACCAGTGTACTTCTCACAGAACTCCTTCCTTATCCCTGTTGGTACTTCAGTTATTTATTTGATAAGAGTACAGTGGAATTTGAGGGCTTCTAATTGAAGACTGTTGTATTTATAAGAGGATATGAGTAAGCAAGTTATGTGGATGGAGGCCACAAACTCAGTTCCTAGAGTGTCTAGATGAATGATGTAAATGAATGAGGTGGCCACATGTAAAAACTAAGGAGAGGTGGGGACTGTGACAGGCCCTGTCTAAAAGAGGCAGCCACCATTAGCCAAGCCCTTGTTCTGCAGGCCTGGTATTGCCAGGCTTTCTGATTCTACATAAGACAAGAAGTCAAGATTTGTATGTGAAACTTCCTAATATTTGATCAATGCCAATTTGAAAACTTTAAAAGTAATCAGAACAAAACATGTTTACAAGCCACCAGTTTGCAACCTGAGTCTTGAGATGGAGTCATGAAAATGAAGGCAAAAAAAAGACACCCAAGGAATGAAAATGTCTCTGTTGCACTCCACCCCACAGTTTACTCCTCTCCCAAGAAAAGGCATTTGGAGGATGGGTGAGAATGGAACCTCCTTTCCCTAACCTCTCAGCTTTGGCAGCCTTTAGTGGTTGGTCAATTGGTCTGGTATGCTAGACATATCTTAGTGTTGTATATCAGAAAAGGAGATTAATTAGTTATTAAAAGTCGTTTGAGGAATTTTTCACCAAAGTTCATTCAGTAAGAGAGTTTGCGCTTGGCAAACTTAAGGTGTTTTATCCCCCCCTTTTACCAGGAAAAAACTAAATCTTGTTTATTTGTTTGTTGGTTTGTTTTAGCTTATTTACTGATGCTTTTTGGTTTTCGGTGATGGTTGTAACTAGGTTTTGAATTCAGGGCCTCACACTTGCTAGGTAGCGCTCTACCACTTGTCCACTCTACCAGCCCAGCACTACATATTTTAAGTAGAAAGTACTAATAAAAATGTTTTTCTTTCCAACTTAATTAAATGTATATTGACTTCAACATGGAAGAGTTACATCTTAATGTAATTTTGTTCTTTGGTAATTATAGTCCCAATCTAAAAATGTGAGTAGGTTTATGTTTTTCTTTAGAATAATTTGTGAATAACGAGAATTATTTGAATTTAAATACATTTAGAGAGATGATTAACATGTGGTCAGATGATTTTAGTCTTTGGGAATGCTTTCATTTCCAATGGTGTAACTCATGCTACTGGGGACAAATGCTTTTTGAATCTATTTTAATTTTTAAAAACTGTTTAAATATGAAAGTGATAAACTGGTTGTATAGTAATGAGCTTGACTGTTGGTTTGAACTACCCAGGACTTTTTTATTGTGTTTTTTATTCTGACTCGAGGACACGCCTACTTTGCATGAGAATGTTACTATATTATGCGTGCTATGAATTTAATTTGTCCTTTCCTTTAGATGTTCATTTCCATTTGTCTGTTTGTGCTACTTAGTCTTTTTTTAAATCCTCTCAGTTTCTTTCACAGCTAGGTTTCTTTCATAATCTTCCCATTTCTCCTAACCTATAATTTAATCAAAATTGTTTTAGTTAACAATTTATTACTTTGATGTGAGTTCTTTTGGTACATTTTGGCTTTAGGATTTTTAAATTTTGTTTTATTATTTGCATTTGCCATATAAGTTACTTGTGTCATTTCAGTGGCAGCATTTTACTTTGGCAACTAAGTACATAGTTCACAATGCGTCTTTACAGAGACCTGAAGATTCAGGTCCCGTTGTATCTTTTACACTATTTTTAATGCAGTTTTACTGCTATATGAGACACTAATTTCAAGCCACTCATTAATGGCTTGCTTCATTTGCCCATATTGCTTTAATAATCACCCAGTTTCCTCCTTTGTGTAGTTTTAATTCACGTTACTTCATATAGGAGCCATTTTAAAAGAAAAGTGTCGTATCTAGATGAAGTGCTTTTTCATAGGATTGCCTTATGCAGAGCATGGGGTCTTAGAATCTTCATGTAAGTTGCTGGGAACCTAAGAGTTCTTAGAACACTATGTTATAATAAAATAACATATCCACAGAAGCCCTGTTTTAGTTTCTTCTGAAACTTTTACCTCCCCTTGTATGAAGGTCCTTGTAA